GCCTGTGGGATTTGCTACGATGAGATGGGACCGTACAGGAAGCTGGAATCGATTCGTGCTGTCAGAATGTCTGGTTCCATCGGAGCTGCATGGCACAGTTTGCCCAATCGGCGGGGTACTTTTTCAAGTGCCCTTTGTGCAACAACAAGGACGACTTTAGTCAGCAGATGCAGCAGCGTGGCATTTATATTCCGGAAAAGTAAGTGAAGCAGAGGTGGGTATTTGAATACTGAATATTTTATTTTATTTGTTCCAGGGATGCCTCGTGGGAGCCTGAACCGAATGCATTCAACGATCAGTTGGAACGTCCTTCGGAATGTGACGCTGAAGCGTGTCGCTGTCGGTATGGGCGAGATTACGATTGCAAGCGTTGGGATATGATCCTGTGTGCAACGTGCGGTTCGACTTGTCGCTACGATCAGTGCATGGAGGTTCCCTCGAAGAACTATGTTTGCACCTTTTGTCTTCCGATTGTTTGAAGCTAGCCGAGGCTTCCCGAAGAGCGGAAGCAGCTTGACGTGCGGAAGCCAGTAGCAGAGAGGGGAGTTCTAGGGGCTGATCTCGTGGCAGACGTCATATTAAATCGGATGATTCAGATTCTGAAGAGTCAGTTGCATCGACGACCAAACGCAAATCTCAGAAAAGACGAACCACAAAAGACAGTGACGACAGTGAATCCGATCTGGTTTCTAAACGAAAGAAACCAACGTCGAAGCGACGGCTGTCCACGTCTTCGTCTAGTTCTTCCTCGTTCGTTTCTTCGAATGGCGAAGAAATCAGTCTGGAGGAACTGATCAAGAAGATTCCACTGCCACGAGGAACTTCCGTCGAAAAATTGCTTCGAGCCAAATCGGTCGTATCAAATCGTTGACTTCTTCGGACAATGAAGACGAAGCATCCTCCGCCGGATCGTCGACCGTGTTCGATTTCAACTATCGTGTGAATTTAACCAAAAAAGCAGTGCCGAAAATCGATGGTAGAATTGCAGTCGATCAAAGAGTTCATCCATTCCGACACGGACACGCTAACGGATGCCTCGGTGGGACAGGAGATCGTGCGTCCCAAGACGCCTGCCAGAAATCTTTTGGAAAACTGTTCAAATTGTAGCTTTTCGGGTCGAAAACCGTCCCACGAAAACGGTCCACCAGCGAGTCTGATCCGGAGTACGTTACAGCGAAGAAAATTAGGTTGATTTAATTTTAATGGTGACGTTCCTTAGACGGTGAATTTTCCAGCACTAGTCAGGTCTTTCCCACGGCGCAGTGGATTACTGCCAACGGTGCCACCTCAAGTGGGAATGCGATTCGAAACCGTTGATGCTCAAAAGTGAGAAAATGTTCCGGATTTCACTACCCACATTAAGCGAATGTCAGCTGGTATCACGCTGCTTTCAGGTACTGAGGGAGAACCTTCCAAAACTTCTAGTGTTTGGACTGGTGGAGATTGCTAAAGTATGATCCCGATGAAAACATTTTGCGTATACGTATGCGTGACGTAGTGTGCGTAAGATAAACGTCAGCAATCTCTATGACACAAAGAATGCACCTGAAACCGACGGAGAATCGCAAGTGCTGTGGTGAGGCAGAAGGAAACAAGTTAGCACTTTCATTATCACGACGTTCTTATCCATAATTTGTGACGTAACGTTGGATCATGCGTAAGAACACCGTGAGAACGAAAGAGTTGTCAACATTCCTTCTGCCGCACCTACAGTAACGCACACGGTTCCCGCGCTGATTGTTCCTTACTTTCTCACTCTAATCAAAATTTCCTTCGATGAGTGAGAAAACAGCACCACGTTAACGCGAGCGAGAACGAGGGTTGCCAGATCATTGCACACAAAACCAACTTGAATTAATTCAAAGCAAAAATACTAGCGAACCTGGCGGTGAGGGGCGGAAGGTGGACTAAAATTCTATTACAGAGAACCACATTATTTTAATTAATTTCTTCGGAGAAAGTCGTCTGTCACTTCGTTTGTGCTTCTAGTCTTAGAGTTACCTCTATGACTGGGTCCCGAAGAAAATCATTATTATTTTTGGCTCACTCAGTACCAGAACAACGGTCCCAAGCAGTCCCAAGCTATTTCACTCATCCCTGCATGTTCTGCATGAATCCACACACCCCTGATGTTATCTGTCAAACTTTCATAGCGAATCAAAACAAACATAGTGTAGTAATAGAATTTCAACTAGAATAGGGTACGTTAATCGTTTGCTTGGGACCAATAGGCTACTAAAGTGGTGAGCCAATTTAAAATCGTTAGTTTCGTATTGATTGTTGGTTATAACATGTTATAGCGCTATCTTGATGGTGGTTTCTGTGTTGCAATTATTTGACAACCGTTATAACATGTTATAACCATAGAGGTAACTCTAAGACAAGTAGGTCCCGAAGAAACGTGCTCAACTTTTTGGCTCACCTCTGGTACTATCTTCGGTCCCAAGCTTGTCGAATCACCCCTCGAAACATAAGTAAAACCAATAACCCCTCATTTTATCTGTCAAACTTTCATAGCGAATCAAAACAAACATTGCGTAGTACTAGAATTTCGACTAGAATAGGGTACGTTAATCGTTTGCTTGGGACCAATAGGCTACTAAAGTGGTGAGCCAATTTAAAATCGTTAGTTTCGTATTGATTGTTGCTATTGGTCCCAAGCAAACGATTAACGTACCTCATTCTAGTCGAAATTCTAGTACTACACTATGTTTGTTTTGATTCCCTATGAAAGTTTGACAGATAAAATGAGGGGTTCGTGGATTTTCCTATGTTTCGAGGGGTGCATCGATTAGCTTGGGACCGAAGATAGTACCAGAGCTGAGCCAAAAAGTTGAGCACGTTTCTTCGGGACCTGCTGGTCTTAGAGTTACCTCTATGCTATTGGTCCCTAGCAAATAGATTAATGTATCCCATTCTAGTCGAAATTCTAGTACTACGCTTTGTTTATTTTGATTCGCTATTCAGCTTTCCATGCTCGGTAATGGCGGCCTGTTTGTATGAATAAATGTATCCTTCACTGTGCTTTTTGACACTACCCAACAAACATTGAATGATGAATAAGAGCTTATTCAGGCAAAAACAAGCTTCTTCAGCTTAAAAATAGCTTAATCAGCTGTTGATCAACTCAAATTGTTTGTTGGGTATCTGGATGTTCGAATTTCAACCCCTTCCCTTTCCCTCTCCCAGGAACAGAAGAAAATGGAACAACATACGCCCTCCAGTTAGTGTCAAAAAGCACAGTGAAGGATACATTTATTCATACAAACAGGCCGCCATTACCGAGCATGGAAAGCTGGATAGAGATTGCTAAAGTACGATCAACAATCAATACGAAACTAACGATTTTAAATTGGCTCACCACTTTAGTAGCCTATTGGTCCCAAGCAAACGATTAACGTACCCTATTCTAGTTGAAATTCTATTACTACACTATGTTTGTTTTGATTCGCTATGAAAGTTTGACAGATAACATCAGGGGTGTGTGGATTCATGCAGAACATGCAGGGGTGAGTGAAATAGCTTGGGACTGCTTGGGACCGTTGTTCTGGTACTGAGTGAGCCAAAAATAATAATGATTTTCTTCGGGACCCAGTGGTCTTAGAGTTACCTCTATGGTACGATTGTGTTAGTGATTTGCTTTCATCGGGAAAATTTTCCGCTGTGAAGTTTTTTTTTTCACGATGAAAACATTTTGCGTATACGTATACGTGACGTAGTGTGCGTACGATAAACGTCAGCAATCTCTATGAAAGATTGACAGATAAAATGAGGGGCTCGTGGAATTTCCTCTTTTTCGAGGGGTGCATCGATTAGCTTGGGACCGAAGATAGTGCCAGAGCGGAGCCAAAAAGTTTAGCACGTTTATTCGGGCACGCAGAAAAATGAATTTTTGTTTCAGGGCCTAATGTATTTTGTTATTGATTCAAACATATTGTATCACTATTTCAACAAAACATATTTTTGAATCAACAAAATGGTTTTTATAATCAACAAACCGATTATTGACTCTAGAACCGATTTGTTGATTCGAACATATTTTTCTTTGAACTAACCGAATAGTATATTTGAATCAATACCAGAAATATATTAGGCCCTGAGCCAAAAATATATCCATTTGAATTTAAAAATCATTTCGCTGCGTGGGACCTTCTGGTCTTAGAGTTACCTCTATGCTTGTATAGTTGTTGTATATTGCTCATAATTATTATACAAAAAATAATGAATCCGGAATCCAAAATTTCTTCAATTTTGGTACACTGTGGTTAGAAAAAAAAAATCGTGCTCAGAAAATGAAGCTCTTTCACCGAAAAAATCAATGTAAAAAAAACCCAATTTTCATTAAAATTTCATAATTTTATAAAAAAAAATTATCGAAATGTTCAAGAGCTCTGTCACAAACTCATCACCGTTCGGTTAGTACTTATTCCTGCCACCTGGTTACATTTCTCAATATTCAACAACATTTTTTGCTGTGTACTAACGAATAAAGGCCCAAGCGCAATGTGGGCGGAAGCGGAATGGAAACGGAAAGTTTGACAGTTGTCACAAATGACAACAAAAAGCCTAACCGAAGTCGATTTGGTTCTAACTAGTTTTCAATCCGACAAGTAGGCTTAAGGCCCTCGCACAATAGATACGTTTTCGGGTTTTTTGACAGTTAGCCCATGCATTATCTGTCAAAAAACCCGAAAACGTATATATTGTGCGCCAGCCTTTACTCAGATCGGGCTTTTCCGCTGCCGCTGCCGTTCCGCTTCCGCTGTCATTGCGCTTGAGCCTAAGCATCAATAAGATTAAGCCAAAAGTATACTTTTATTTTTGAGTGCACACTGAAAATCCGAATAGGATCAAACCTGGTTTTCAATAAATACTTTGGCTCGACGATTCGTATATACCGGCGAAATTTCGCCAATTTCGCCCAATCTAGTTGACCGTTGACAGAAAAGGTTTAATATTTTTCGTACGTTTTGTTTATCCATTTTCAAATAGTGTTGAGAGGTTTTAAGATATTGTCGACTTTTACTGCGTATTTTGTGACAATTTTCTATTAAACTATTGGTTAAGTGTTTGACTACAATTTGGAAAATATGTACTTTTGAGCTATGGATAAATTAGGGGTAAAAATGCTTATCAACGACATCGAAAACAAGGACGAACTGTTCAACGTAATCGTCGGTGAATTGCGTGGCCATGGGATAAAATATCGTAAGGAAAAACGAACCAAGAACGGGCAGGTATAAAATTGAGTTTGCTTTCGATTTTGTATTCCTTGGGTATCATGACATTTTCTCTTGTAGGACAAAGCACGGTGTAAAAGGATATTCAACGTCCCTCTTCATACATTGGAACTAACAGACGTAATTCTGGCAAACGGCGGTATAGCACAGGTTCCTCTATTCGTTTCGGATGCCTGCCAGCGCATTTTGGAGCAGGTGCATACGGAGGGATTATTTCGAAAAGCTGGTTCTTCGAAACGGCAGCAGGAAATTAAAGTAAGTTCATTTTTTGAATTTTTGTATTCAAATAAAACATTGTTTATTTTGCAGGCTAGTCTCGAATCTGGTCATCCTTTAGGTAAATCGCATCACGTCATTGATGTTGGCAACATTCTGAAAACTTTCTTTCGTGATCTACCCGAGCCTCTTCTGCCACCGGGAAATATTCAAGAAGCTTTGATCCGCTGCCTTATTTCTGGAGAACACAAAGTGTACGATCTCATGATCACCTGCTTGCTTCTTCCACCCATCACATTGAATACGTTGGCGTTCTTTATGCAGTTCTTACACACCGTTTCATTGAATGCGCATTTTAATAAGATGACGATGGAGAACCTGGCCATAATTCTGGCACCGAACTTGATGCCCATCGTTGAGATGGTTCAGCAACGATTGAACAGTCACGTAAAGGTTATACAATTGCTTATCGAACATTCCCATCAGATAGGCATTGTACCGGAAACAATCCTGGAGAAACTTAACGATTCCATCAGTTTGATTCGTCAGACAGGCGATACGACAGGAAACACTACCGACAAGAAAAAGAAGAAACGGAGGAGTGGTTCGTTGACCCGAATGTTCCACGGTTTGAGAAAGATAGTTGGTGCTATTGGATCATCTGAAAGCTTGGATAAGACTGACGAATATTTGGACAAGGATGCCACCGTTGCAGCTACAGCTGCCACTCCGTGCCTTAATAAATCATCGAAAAAGCGAAAAGTCGCCGACGGGATGCCATTCAGTGCAAAGAAAAAGTAAATATGCAAACTTGCTAGTAGGTACTTAACTTACTAAAACATCACTTTTCTGTTTGATTGCAGGAAAGAAGTAGTTTCATCACTTCCGGATAATCAAGAAATCCTACCGTATACTCCGCTGGCATTAATGAAGTAACATTGAATGTTTGTTATTTTGTTAAAACTTTAAGGGTAATCGATTTATTTCCACTTTCAGGGAATCGAAAAAATCTCGCCTTAGTCTCGGGGGCAATAAGAACAAAATGGGCAAGACCGGCTCCAGATTGGCCCCGAGCTCTTCGATTACGTCGATTGTCGATAACAAACCAATGGAACGTCGTTGGAGTGTGGTCGGAGCACCGTGGGCCCGTAAAAAACAAAATCGTAATGGAGGAGTTGTCGATTCCAAGCCCTCGTCCGGGGGACGGATCGATTCTGGTAGGAAAACCGAAGAAGAAGACGAAGGCGAAGAAATCAAAGGCTTGGCGGGTCTTTCACCTGTGGTTTCGTTGCCAAATCTGAGTACCCCGGACCTGGAGAAGGAACGGGAGTTGTTTGAAGCTCAGATTGTGAAAATGCCAATGTTGAAGGGAAAAGTATTGTTCAATGACGACGACGACGATGATGATGATGAAGACGAAGAAAACCACCGTAAACAAGCCATGAACAGCCATAGCGGAAAGGAATATATGCGGATTCCTAAAAGCGAATACGAAGCTATTAAGGAACGCGTCACGGCGATCGAGACAAGGATATCTCAGGAATTTGGTAACATCATAGGAGGAGTGGCAGATGATAAAAGACAAATGCTTGACGGTATCGAACGGGTTGAGGATAAATATCAACAAACGTTGGAACACACGGTTCCCATAGAAGCTAGTTGTTCTAGTACAGATCAACTGGCGAAAAGGTTGAGTCGGGAGTTGAAGATTCGCCGTAGTGTTGAACATAAAGTGATGCGTTCACCAAGCGCCCGGAAAATCGGAACAATTAGAAGACGTTCAAAGGAAAATATTCGGCTTTCCCGAAACCAATCGTGGCACATGGGATCAACTGCAACTAATGTAAAACCTATTGCTCCCATTGCATCGGATCTATCATTCTATCCGAAAACTAATCTGAAAAGAGGTCGCCCGAATACAGTGCAAACGGGTCTGAAGCATCCCGAATTGAGTCCTGTAAAACGTGCAGAAGATAGCGCAGCCTTATCCGGACAAAACATTACCGATGAAGAAAAGCAAGAGGAAAAGTGGACCTGTGCCAAAAGATTCTTCGGTGATGACTTATCCATGGATACTACGAGTGGAGACATTTTCAAAACACCCGAAGTGACAACCACCATGCCAAGGCGAACATCAATACGCTCCGCTGGAAGTTCCAAGAAGGCAACACCACATTTCGTTACCCGAATTGAACTCGGTGAAGCTAAAACCCCTATGCTCCCTCCGGAAGTACCTCCACGCAAAACACCCGCCAAAACACCCATGCTTCCACCCAAAACTCCAGGTCGTCTGGATTCGACATTGCTGAAAACACATCTTACACCCCTGCAAGAACTGCAATCTGGGCGGGCTTCAATTGCTCGCTTACGCAGTCAAAATGCTGGAATGGTGATGGCCAAAGCTAAGCTCTTCGATGGTATGGTCACGAGTACAAATCAATCATCTCAACCACAGAATAATCGTCGTCAGAGTAGCAAATTTTTGATGAAGAACAATCCTGATGGTACCAAAATTCTGAATCCTCTGATGCAAGTTCCAGAAAAGATTCAACTGCGGCAGGTGCAACAAGTTCGAAATGTCACTTCGACTCATAACGTGAAAAGTCCGCACCGCTCAACGCCGCGTAAACGAGCCATGACAAAGTCACCGCACGGGGGCATTAATCGGCGGGAAAAGCTCAGACTCGCTGCAAAATCTCCCGGGACAAAAGCTTTCAACTCACCCCGTATGATTCGGCAACTACAGGACGAATCCAAAAGTCTCGTGACTGTAAATTCCGCAAATCCAGATGGCAGTGTATGCTTTTCGTCGAATATCTACGATCTGGATAATAAGACTCCACATGGCAAGAAGAATTTTGCACGTAACTCTCCTCGAAGACTCATGGCCACCACTCCTCAGGGTAGGGAAAATAGATCGACAAATCCGGTTGGAAGACAGCAAACACCGATGAAGGCAACGCCCCTCTCTAAGCTGGCTATAGCGCCATCAGCTGCAGCACAAGGCGTAGATGGCATGCCAGCGCGACGAGAATCACCACGACTACTGGCCAATAGTGGTCCACCCAGGAGAGCAGCTAATACGACTGCCGCCGTTGGACCTTAACCGCATACGTATATAGCCAAGTAAGTGTTTATCATTTTTTGTGAATGATTTTTCTAGATTAATTAAACGTGACGATCGTATTATATATTAAGTCGTTGCGTTGCTACGAGTCTGTGATGGTGAGTTGATGATGTGCTCTTCATAGCGATGAACGGAAAATATATAGACTGCCATCTTATAATAAAACTATGTCTGTAAAACTAAAAGAGTTCTCATTTGTATCACAATCCTTGTGCAGGCGGTTTTATTCGCAGTCAGATTTGCAATGGAGGAAATTCTATGTATCTAAGCCTCATATCTGCCATTTGGCAAGCAAAGCTATTATGGAGACGATTGACGGAATCCATTTTTCATACTGTGGTAGATTACCCACCAAAGGTAAGACACTATGAGGCTTCCATCTGCAGAGTGAAAATCGGAACGGATCATTGACTGACCGTAGTCCGGGTAGTCGCTGATTTATACAAGGATGTAGGGGCTGATTACGGATGTCACTTCATGGTGAAAACTTGTCACTTGTCGTCACGGTGAAGTAATTCCCATTTGATTTGTACGGCAATCACGGCTCTTATTCCAAGTATCTCTTCCTTATTACCGTGTAGTGACACCCGTAATAAGGCCCGTATACTATCACCGCTACTGTTTCTTATCGTAATCGACGAGACCATGATAGGTACTATTGACCGTGTACCGAACCGAGGGCTGTTTTGGCAGCCGATCACGGATGAGCATCTCAACAACTTGGATTTGACAGATGATTTTTTTTTAATAATTACTTTATTTGTACAGGCTCAATCGAATAAACTTTACAGAGCCGAGTTATCATTTTTGTTATACATTACTATTGTCTTATATTTAAAGTTAAAGGAACTGGACCGAATACTCGCGGTTGTCTCGAGGTTAGTGGAGATTTACAATATTTTCGATGGGAAAAGAGAGTAGGAGGTTTGAAATGTGATTTACGATACATTATTTAATTAATCCTAAAACGTGAACTTATTTCTATTCATCTTGAAAACAAAAATTAAAAAAAAAACCCTCGCACGTACAAAATACAAACTAAACACAAGGTTAATCAAACTTACAATCTAAGGTTAATAGTCTTAAATTAATCATATATGAGTTTCATAAACTCCAGATCGCGCCCAGCCAAAACATCCCGAACTGGAACATTAGGTTGTCTACCTTGAGCCCGAAGGGAATCGTACAGTTCCGATCTGACTCCACGATGCTCAGCACAAGACCAAATAATGTGATCGGCGTCTTGGTAACCTTGTCCACATTCACAGAGATTGCTGTCCTCCAGCCCAACACGGAACAAGTGAGAGTTTAACGAATAGTGATTGGACATGAGGCGAGACATCACACGAATGAAGTCTCGACCCACATCGAACCCTTTGAACCAAGGACTCTTCGGCACCTTAGGGATGATCGAATATAGCCATCGTCCCAAACTCCCTTCACTCCATTTATTCTGTCAGCTGGCGAGTGACTGTTGACGATAAATGAAGAAAAATTCATCGTAGGCGATTTGTCGGTCTTAAATATCGCCTTCCATAGCGCTCACCTTAGCACCTTAGCCTTCTCATTGCCCGGAAGCAAGCAATGAGATGGGACCCATGCAAAGGTGATGACAAAAGATCTTAAAGATAAAGCACTTAGAAGCTCTCGTATTTTCATGAGAAATTACGAGGAGTGCTTTACCGGCCTCATGGAGCGAATAGCCTCGACAGAACTGAGACTATCCGTAAAAATAAAGTAGTGATCTGGCGAAAGTGAGGCGATGGTTTCTAGCGTATAATGTATTGCCGCCAGCTCAGCAACATATACGGAACAAGGAGCTTGCAGCATTCGAGAGGCGCTATGAAATTCGTTAAAAATACCAAATCCAGCGGACGCCTCTATTAGTGATCCATCTGTGAAGAACGATCTTGTGGAATCAACTTGGCCAAACTTTGCAGTGTATACTGACGGAACAATCATGGAACGATGATGTTCTGGGATTCCGCGAATCTCTTGCGTCATAGATAAATCAAAACTAACTGAATTGCCGAAGTCGGAGAAGCATACACGATGAGGATTATGCTGTGAAGGGCTGACATCCAGTGTTATGTACCCGTAGTATAATGACATAAACCGAGTTTGAGGGTTTAGTTCAAGAAGCATATCAAAGTTTTCGATTACCAGTGGGTTCATAACTTCACAACGGGTGAGGAGCCTGAGGGACAATTCCGAACACCGATCAGAGAGTGGCAACATGAAAGCCAACACTTCAAGACTCATCGTATGAGTCGAGTGCATGCATCCTAACGCGATACGAAGACGATACGTTCCAGTTTGATGATGTGCGTTTTAGCCGCCATTCGACAGATGATGTTGCGCTACTAGAATAAAGGCCCAAGCGCAATGTGGGCGGAAGCTGAACAGATACGGAAAGTTTGACAGTTGTCACAAATGACATCAAGATGCCTAACCGAAGTCGATTTGGTTCTAACTAGTTTTCAATCCGACAAGTAGGCTTTCTCAGATCGGGCTTTTCCGCTGCCGCTGTCGTTCCGCTTAAGCTGTCATTGCGCTTGGGCCTTAACGGTGCTCTGATATGCAAAGTAAGCTCAACGACCTAGTCAAACGCTCCTATGCAGCGGATCTCACCATCAACGTCAACAAGACCAAATCGTTGGATGTCAACACGGACAAACCTTCCAACTTTACAGTAGCTGAGGAGAAAGTTGTGTACCTCTGAAGGTGCTTAGGATACTTAAGTAAGTAAACAAGGATGTTGAACATCGAGGTGACAGGGTGTTGTGAGAAAGTTGTGTACCTCCGAAGGTGCTTAGGATACTTAAGTAAGTAAAAAAGGATGTTGAACAGGGTCCGTCCGGCACAGATTCCTGCCTGTCCCGAAGAGTCACTGCGATTTTCTCCAATACCAACTGGGCGTGAGTTTTCGCGCAAATGAAATGGAGTGGCACGGCACACTAAGTAATTTTTGTCACTTCACTGGTGACAGAGACTTACTTCACTTCACTCGCCGCGCTGAATAGGCTTGAGTGATAGCTGTTGAAATATCGAGAAGTACCCAAAGCAGCATCTCACCCACGGCAAGTCACGAATGACCCAAGAACGATAAATTGACTATAATAATAATAAAAAAGACCCGCTACAGTTGCTCTTCGCAAGTTAATCGAGACAAATGACTACGAGGCCTACGGGACATGGCTTAAGACAAATCGTACAAGTATCTTGGTTTTCGCCAGCTCACGAGCATTCGTCATACCGATATCAAAATGAAGTTGCGAGATAAGTTTTTGAATCGGGTGAAATGTGTCTTGAAGTCTTCCTTGAACACGAGGAGCATGGTCCGGGTCAGTAGTCACGTTTGCCATTCCCCTGTTGATCTTATGTTTTAGAGTAGTGAAATGGAGCTGAACTGACCTTGAAGACACGGAGTGTAGCGAGCATTTTGTGGCAGGCTACAACGCGTTGCACCTTGCGCAAGAGAATTACAGCCTCACTGCAATCTAATGACAGTAGAGGAGAAGAAGGCAGTACATCAACTCGAACATCGAACTTGTGGCTGACCCGAGGTGAACTCTCCGGTGCTCGAAGCTGATATCATAATCATCCAGGATAATAGGATTATGCCAACGAGATACTCCGGGGTACCAAAACGTTGAGAACAACCACAAGCTTCCTTAGCTAGTTACACGGGTCTATGCTGTGCGGTGACTTAGTACCTTCACGTAACTCTTCGTGCCGATCACAGGACATCAGTCGATGGTTGCATGGCAAAAGAATGATCACATGCGCATATTTGAATACCACTTTATCAATCAAATTCAAAATCATTTCTCCTTGCGCTCACTCTGCGTCTTTCTTTCTCGCTCGTAGTTACTGTCAAATAATCACAAACATATAATAAAAATCAACTTTTATTTCCATCAATCTTATATTATTGAATCTTCAAATATCATTATTCAATCCTCGTCGGAGAAAAACATCTCCAGTAGATCTGCTTTACAGCACTGTTCTCCTTCCAATCGTTGTGGGTTTTTCCATCGGACGAGCGTTGGAATAACGCTGAGGTGCGTATTGGTATCCTTGCGGAAGGGATTATTCATATCCTTCCACGATGGTCTGTCGCCCACGTCAACATAGATGAAATGCGATTCCGCGGGAGCTTTCTCCAATGCTGCCTCAATGAAGGGGGCAGCTAAAATTAACATAATTAATTGACTTCGATAATTAATATAGTTAGTTAATTTTCATTCCTGTTACCTTCGACACAGTCCCCGCACCAGCTGATACCAGTTTCCAGTTTAGCTCCCGTGAAGAGAACGTTCATCACTTGTCCATTACTTTTTAAATCTTTCATGAAGCTAACAAAGTTATCGTAACCGGCTACGTGGTGCTTATGGACCATTTTGTTGAATTTCTACAGCACCGAATGTGGGGACGAACAGATGCTTAATGGTCTATAACAGCTAATAACTATCTGGTATCGAATTGGAACATATAATGGCAAACAATCATATACTGATAACCTGATAACGATACCACCGTCGAAGTCGAAGGATTAACTTTAGGAGCTTCCTCGAAATAAGATCCATATAAGAGGAAGGTGCAACAGGCCGTTAGATGTATTTGGATTAGTGACGTCACTATTTGCATGAGTAGCAAACACGGTAAGAAAAAAGTTCCAACTATCACTTTTTACTTAACATTGGTTATCATTGGAAGGGAAATAGAAAATTTTCATTTAATTAACGAGTCGATGGATTTGAGTTCATTCACTTGAGAAAAAGTTACAAGATGCGGGTAATGTGAACACTAATAATGTTTATGAATAATTAATAAGAACATTTAGTGTTCATTTTACCCGAAAAAAAAAATAATTATAACAAAACAACGAAATTACAATAATTTTTACTGTTGAATTTCGAGTACATTAAAATTTAAGTTAAAATGCAATCAAAAGTACTTAAAATAATTAATGTGTTTTGAAGTAGTACTGACTGTAATTAAAATTAACAATCCGTACTTAATGTAATTAAAAGAATTGAAATGTAATTAATGTACTTTAATTACGAAAAGTCGACTGTAATTAATGGACTTAAAAAGTAGTTAATGTTCTACACTGTGTAATTAATGCAATTAAAGTAGTAGTTAATGGAATTAATTTAATTACAGTCGTTGTTTGCGTCGGAGTTAAAGATGGTTAAAGGTTATTGCGTGCCCCTAGGGTATACCTGATGTGGCGAAGAAGCTAGCTGATCTGCAATCTCCTATGGCAACCTTTAGTTGCCGACCGGTAAGATATGATCGAAACCAACGCAGAAGATTACCTAAGACACTACAACGAGGCTGCCGAGTTTAGCAATCGCAATAGCATGGTTCAACTTGTCGAATGCTGTGAATAGTTCTGAATAAATAACGTCCGTTTGAACCCGATCCGACATGCTTTCGGTTATATACGATGTGAGACACAGCAGATTGGTGGTTGTAGAGCGACCGACAGTAAACCCATGTTGATCAGCACTCAAATACTGCTTGCAATGGGACAGCAACGGTTCCATAATCACTAGCTCGAATAGCTTCGAAACGGCACTTAACGATGTAATTCCGCGATAGTTATCCACAGCTCGTTTCCTTCCTTTTTTGTGGACGGGAAACATGTGTGCAAATTTCCAGCAAGATGGAAATATGCCACTGGAGAGAGACATTCGGAACAGGCGAAGGAGCGGAATTAACAAGCTAGTAATATGTCTCTTCTAAAATACAGATGGAACTCTACGAAACGAAAATCAATTATTTTATTCATGTGTTTCACTTATACATTTTTGCCAAACATCAGCCTTTTACATTCCATAAGACAAACCACATAGGTCCTGGAAAAATGCATAAAAGGTATGTGTGACCGCTTATACATTTCATTTGACACATGATCTTCATTAACTTTTTGCAAGGCATCTGCTTATTAGTTGACTTATACATTTTATGAATAATCAATAATAGAAATTTGCCAAAAGGTAAAAGGAGATTTCTATCCGTGTCGATTCGTAACGAGCCTGCAACTAGGAGCAATTGGCTGCTGGGGGAACGTCCAGTGCCGTTTTTATCATCAAAAACAAAAATCTAGGCAAAAGTGATGACAAACAGAAAGCTGCAGTAAACATAAACAACAACGGTGAAACGTAATTGAGTTTATGCGTTAAAGTTTCACTTTTATTTTTTTACTTTGTAACTTTCAACCGAGCTTTGCGTTTGACAGTTAATATAATTAATATTTATTCTAAAAACGATGTTTATAATAACTACCAATCTGAACATTTTTTACTCTAAATATTACTCAAGTTGTACTTCCCCTAAGTCCAACCCGTGCGCGAACATAATTTATATAATATATACCACAATCAGCGCTGCCATTTATACAGATTTATCTGTATTATACAGATTTTTTAATCTTAATACAGACCCTCTAAAGAATACAGATTTATCACAGATTTTTAAATTACAATACAGATTTATACAGATTTTTGCTTGAGAAAAAAAAATCTATATCAAAATAAGTTATTAAGCAGTTCTCACTAATATCAATATATGTTATAATTTTGATATTCTTCGCATATCTTTTAGCTCTCATTTTTGTTCTGTTAGCCATCAACTCCATCAAAATGAAATCAATTTGAGTTATCAGGAATAATGAAAACAACATAATTCTTGTTTTCATTTTGTTCTCACCCTCTGCTCGGGAACCTATCAAATTTCCATCGACAATTAATCATGTTATGGTGTTTTTGACAGCATTCACAACCAGAGGACCAACCGCTTTCGGATGCATATGGAGCTGGTAGTAAACGATTTGAGATTGTATTAATTGAATATTTCCAATATAAGCATGTATGTTAAATACAAGAAAAGTGCCCGAGCACATTAAAATGGTACAAATACAAGTACTCGTAAACATTTTACTTGCATTGAAAATGTATTTCGTAAGAAATTGCGGATTTTCTGATATTCTCCATACTGCAAAAATGATTTTACCAGCACTGGCGGGGTGACATCTCTCGACTTTTCGGTGTAACTACCACACAAATGATGTAATTAATTGTATTCATCTATATTAAAAATATCAAATAGTAATGAACTCGTGCACTTTTTTGCATCTAAAACTGCTTATCAGGAAGATAATGAATAGAAACTAAAATCTCCATACATTTTCAAACGGCTTCATATCACTCTTATAAATAAGTACGGACGATATCACAAATGGCGCAATTATATCCCGTATGGTTAGTACGATAGCCCGATTAGGTGGATAAGCACTTTTTATGGTTATTTTGTATGCACTGTATTTGTAAAACAACAAAACATGATTAATTAAGAAAAAATCGTCAATACAGAAAATACAGATTTTTTAATAGAGTGGATACAGATTTTTTATAAAATCACCTGGCAGCTCTGCAATATACCAGACAATATACCACAACATGGACAAAACAAGAATTTTGAATGGTAATGGTTCTTTACAACCCATTATTTGTAAGGCTCACTTCCAAAAAACCGTAATACATAAGGTTAAAAGTTTATCACACAAACGTTCATGAAAAGTTCCATAACCATTTCAGTTAAAGTTTAGCAGGGATTATGAACATTTTTTAACCATTTTCGGTAAGGTCAATTGATACACAGATTAAATTTCAAAGATTGTTTTTATGTGTCCCACACATGAATTTTTGCAATGTGACCAACACATGATATGTATGTGTCGGACACATACTTAATATGTGTACACATAAAAGCCATGTGTAACCAATGACGTTTATATCAGGTCTGGGCCAAAGGGATTATTGGTGTTAGTGAAATGTGCAAATGGTTAGTGGTGTTCGTATTATATTGCAATGTTTATCTTTTTACACGAAACAGCTGTTGGCAGTGACGTATTTCTATCTGTTCTCAGTATGTCGGCAGTGACGTATATCTATCTGTTCGCAGATGTTCAGCAATGTTTACAACATTTTTGCTTCTAACACCAGCAAGCTGCCTGTTGGCCCAGACCTTATATAAATGTCATTGATGTGTAACCACACATACTATTCATTTGACTCATAAATTTCATGTGTGCCTCTGGGTGGATTCTGTTTATGTGAGATTACATGAAAATCATGTGGAATTTCACATGGAAATTCGTCAATAAAATTGTGTGGAATTGTATTAGTTCACGTCGGGGTTCGCGTTTATGCGGGATCCGATTGAGGTGCAAAACCTTATAAGGTGGCGTTTACGTCACTTTGTCATCTTTGGCAGTAGCCACGGTGCTGGCATCCCGGAATTGTATTACCTTTCGTTGTAAGTTTTGTTTCAATCCTGAACGCACAAATTTGACAACTTTTTGTCAGAATCAGACGAAAATACGCGTGTTTGTGTGTGTTTCGCAGGGATTCTCTCGCATCGCATATCGTATTGTTGTGCTCCGCTAAAAAGGCGACGTGATCGCGTTTTTCTCCATTACATCGTCATATTTTTCCGAAGCAGTGGGAAGAATTTCTAAGTTTTTCCGGGATATACAACCATATTTCTCAGTTTTTTCAGTAGATTCCGAAGCCGCAAGTGAAGGGTTGATCATTGCACGTGATATTGAAGTAGGCCGCAAAGTGTTTCTTGAGAACTAGCGAGGGTGAAAAAAGTAACAGCCTGTGGATGCGCTTATACGAGGACTCGCAGCGGCAGCAGACTCGGAAGGTCAGCACAGGTGATTCGTACGAAAATATGAGCGACGATGACAGGGATATCGATATCGACAGCGATGTAAGTTGACCATATTGGTACGTAGGGGATTATCGCTATTTTTAATTTGTTTATGTTTTGGTTGTAGGATGGGGAAGACTCCGATACCACAAAGTCGCAGGCGCGGAACTCGGCTGGAGGCCAATTTTATTCACAGGTAATGTCCTTTTTCTGTTCGAATGGTTCAAAGCATGTTCCTATATATATGCTAATCTACGCCTGACGCTCGTCGTATGTAAATGAAAGGAAGCAGAGTTTCTGCGGGATTGTTCAAGGTCAACATTGTCGTTTCACATACATTGTATGTATGTATAAGTAAAAGCTTCTCGTTGTCAGAAGGATGCGAGATGAAAATAAGTTAAAAATTCTCAAATTATTCAAGCTTATGATTTAGATCGCATACAATTTTTATGATTAAGCGACTTATTTCAAGATGTGTAAATTTAAGAATATGTCCATGCGCACGTTACTACATTAGTGTGTGTTGGCTTTGCATTCGATGTTTGTTATAACTTTATTAAGCTTTCTGACTTTGTAATAAGTATTTTCTAGGGTATTTCTGCTTTAAATCTACGAGATGAACTAGCCAACGAACTAAAAATCTTTTCTGAGAAAAACACTTTTGAAGATTTTTGGGACAACATATTATGATTTAGCTGTTAGCGCTTTATGTGCCAACCTCGGGAAACGTCGTTTGAAATAAAATAACTTTGCATAATGGTCGTTTGGCATAATAGTCATTTAGCATAATGGACGTTTAACATAACAATATCAACATTTCTTCCAGATGCAAATATCATATAAAAAATACTACGCACTTCCGTTGGCTCTCCTGCCTCACTAGCGTACTTTTAAAAAATATTTTCCCTTCTTCAAACATGAGCTGTTCGTTCGAGTTTTATTGTTGCAGTAACTATTGGCGCTTTCTCACTGCTCCTCTGATATCGCACAACCAATGAAATAACAAATGGTTATTTTTAATTTAATACCTAACTAATTTCCTATTTTATCACGTTTCTAATCTTGCGTTATTAAACCACATTCAAATTTAACCGTTTCCCTTGTTTTATGCCAAACGTGCATTATGCCAAATTACATTTATGTCAAACTGGGTAACCTACCCACCACCAAATCCTACTGAACATTACAATTTAGTATGAAACTGCGAACAAATGCCAAATCATGTGAGATGATGATGATGATAATTATACCACTCATTGTAGTACGGAAACTAATGTCGTTTTCGTTTTTGCGGTGTAGCTACACCGGTGCTACACTGCCTAACACCGAAAAAAATTAGGGTGTAGCTATCGGTTGCACCTTTGTTTACAAAGAAGTGATGATGAACTGTCAATGACTCGCACTTATTCCCGAACAGGAGAAAATAACTAATGAATACCTAATTCTAACATGATACCAAAATTTGGTATTGACCAGCATGACATAAGAAGTAAAATACCAAAGAATAATACCAAAAAATTGCATGCAAAATACTATGTAAATATCAAAAATTGATATTTGGATACCAAAAGAATACCTGTGTGGTATTGCTTTGGTATTGCATTATCATAATTTGGTATTATAAGGGTATTGTGGGAACATTTTTTTGGTATTATGTTTTGGTATTTTACCTCTTATGTCAGGCTCATCCATACCAATTTAAGGTATCGAGATATTCGTTCCTGCTCGGGTTGCTGCTTACACTACACCGGTGTAGTGTAGTAAAAACGAAAACGACATAAGTCCGATAGCAGTGGGCGCTCCTCACTGTTTGATTTGATCGAGCTTAATAACCTCTGATTGTTCTCAACATGTCACTGTATGAAGGGCCAAAAACGGTTTTGGTGGATCGATAGGTAAATTCACCTATACGCCTCCACGAGATGTTAACAACAGGGAGTTGACAGTTTCACTTTCCTCATCCAAATTGCTTCAATCGGGTGCAGATGGAGGCGAACCAGCCCCAGGCTGAAAGCCTCCTTAATAAAGATAACTCAATCAATCAATTCAATCGGGTGCCCTGGTGGTCCCTCCGAATCCCAGCATTGTTTTGTATATAGGGTTAACTACCCCATTTCCGGCCTATTAAGCACAACCCGCACTTAGTCTTTCTTAATCTAGCGTAGTTTAGAACCAAACAGAATGTTATTATTACTGATGGCTTCCAAATTTATTTACCTTTCCGTACGTACCGTAAGATTTGATGAAGAGAAACAAATTGTCTAGATATTGTTAAAAGTCTTACACTGCTTCTTGACGCCAAACTCGGCCTAACACATTGAAATGCCATTAAAACGCCAATGAATTCACTTCGGCCTATCGGATGAAGATAAACATTGATTCGGTCATTTGTATTTGAGAATATTGGGTGCAAACATTCATATCACGCGTTCTTATTAACTTCGTTCGGTAGCATTTGAACTAAAGTATCATACCAAACGCAGAATTTACCTGTTAACGCCAAAATCATGAATTTACTTGATGTTTTCTGCTTGATTGGCCCAAAATGGGCGCTTAGGCCGAAGTAGTTCTCTGCCCTATGAACAATAATAAAAATTAATGTTTTTAAACGATCTCACCATCTTTTGCTGTTTCTTCACCCTTCCCATGTTATTTCTGATGTGTTCTACTCTACGACATTTCGAAGTTCATTATTTTTGTATGATGATCTTGAGTTCCTAGTTTTTTTTTAACTAGTTCGTTTATTTACTAGGCTCAGTCGTGTGTGACACTTTGCGGAGCCAAAATCAGTAATGTTTGATTTACATTTTAAATAGCAGTATTTCTAGGTTAGTATTGGGTACCAATTACTCGTGGCGGGCTCGAGGTTAATAGGTAACAATTTCGATTGGAAGGATCTAGGTAGCAAACTGGTTTCTGAAGCCTCCTTCAGATACTACTCTCGGACGGTTGACCAAATCCTGGCTGGGCAGGGGCAAGTAGCACAGGAACAGGAGGATAATAAGACTGGGACACAATGGCGGGAAATTGTTTGGAAAGGAGGGGATAGTCACATCAAACTCTAACATCAGACAAACAAAGGAATTCGTAGATCGCTTGCATGTAGGGAAGATCACGTGTCTTATAAAACCGTAACACCAATGCGGAAAATGGACAGTGTCGCCGGGTATTTTTTTAATTAGCATCACTCCATTGTCGTATCGCATGTGCTACATTTTGCAGCTCTTCTTTCACTTTTACTTTGTTCACTCCATGGTACCGGAAAATATATAGATATAGTAGGTTTGCCAGTTATGGCAAAACGTTCCTATGGGAATCCCATATGCCATAATTGGAACACACCATAATAGGACCGTATAGCCATAACTGGTTCATCTACCCTATATACATTATAAGCAATGATATGATATAACCACATCGGGATGGCCGTTCAGAATGGTTCAACGGATGTGAAAGGAGGGAACATTTAAATTTAACACGATTTAAAGTATTTCAATGCAACATTACATTTGTTGACTAACAATTAACACATTTTTCAAAACAGGGCTGAAAGTCTCCTTAATAAAGATATAAAAAAAAACATTGTTCAATATGTTATCTTAACTAATTTCTGTAATAATTTACTTGTGTTTTATACAATTAGTATCAATGTTCCGTCATATCGTGATCTTCGCAAGCGCCACATTCAGTTAAAATTGCACATTACAATGTCATCACTTACTCACACATGATATCTGCCTCGACAACCCTCACTGAACCAAAGGGCAGGGACAAATACCAAATCATGTGAGTTCCATATTCAAAGTACCTGTCTATCGGTCCCATATTGAAATTAAACTGCACTAACTGTTCAAGAGCAAATGAAATAAACTCTGCATAAGCAACTTATTTTGTCATTACAACTACATACCCAGTATGATTATTTGAAGCTCCACGAAGCTTGTTTACGACATCGTATCAAACCTCGTTGAATCTGTAGAACATCAAGATCTAAACTCTAGAACAATTTGGAGAATGAAACATATTTTGTTTGTACTTCTCATCTCACTTGATGTGATGAGGTCCAACGTAGCTACATGGATTCATATAATAAATGTGAACATCATACAAGACTTTGGACTCAGGATAAGTTGGAAACATCAACATGTTTTGGCAGTACAGCCAAAGAAAAATACTAAGATGAAACAGTCGGAAGAAAAACTTTGTATTTTAGTGTCCTCTTTCACGGTCCCTTTCATCCAATGAATACCCCTAGTATGCAAGTTAATTTTGTGGTTATGCTGTCTCCTCGGTAGCGTTGAAATTTTGCGCTTTTTTATCAAAACAATCACATCAAAATCAGAGATGTCCCAATTTTTTAATTACTCGATTAACAACCAATCGATTATATTTTGTTCGCTGTGTTGTCATTTTTTCATCAATGAGAGTGCAGCACGTGTTTTAAACGATGGGTAATGATCCTCTGCAGAAGTTAATGCTTTTATCAACATGATATAACCACTTGCAAACATTTTAATTTTTGGTTCGTTAATCGATTAATCGATTCTAAAACATTCCTCAGAAAACCATTCCCCAGAAAACCATTCCCCAGAAAAGAAAATGAAATTAGTAATTTATCACTTTTTTTTGGTCATTTGATATTATATTTCAGTTTTATGTTACAGAACAGGCGTCCATAAATAAACAGGTCCGCAAGTATCTTGCAAACTGAATAATACATCTTTCTGAATTTTACACATTTGATTTAATATATTTTTCATGATAAAACTCTCTGATTAGTTTCACTTTACTAATGATGATACACTACGTTTACTTTTATGGAACTATGTATTTATCAATTCCAAACCATTTTATAGCTCTTTAGAAAATGACAACCTTCAAGTTTTCGAGCACTTCGTTCATCATTTAAAAAGTCAAAGGGTCTATTATGCAATCCAATTCAACCAGTCGGAAACTGTTAAACCTTATCGAAGAACTGTTCTCGTGATGGATTAAAAATTCGGTGCATGGAACGTTGAACTACCGATTACAAATTTATAACATTATTCCACACGTTATTATCCCGAATGGGCATTACCCCGAATCCCTTGAGAAAAACTATTGATTATATATTTTCCTTATATATTAAAAGAAGGGAATATTCCCTTCTTTATCGTGTTTCCAAAGAATTATTTACTTCCTTTTGTTATATTTCCAAAGAACCGAATATTCCCTTCTTTATCGTATATCCAAAGAATTAATTATTTCCTTTTCTTATATTTTCAAAGAAGGGAAAACCCCTTGATCCATTAAGAAGTTTTTCTCTTCTTTTTATATAAGCGAAAGAAGATTCCAGGAGTGACTATAATAAACAAAAATAGTCATTCTAATACATGGCATACTTTCCTGGGGAATGGTGCATTCTGGGGAATGTTATAGAATCAGGTAACACATTAAGCTTCGCTATGAAAGTTGTTACAGCAGTTTTCGTTGTTTCAGTCTCGAGATACAAATATTATAAGCCTTAAATTACCTAAAAAACATAAAATTAACTCGAACCACCTCTAAATCATCCCCGATTTTGCTGAAAATTTGCACAGAAATTCAAATTAACATGACGAACAGTAATCACGATTGACCCGGTGCATCCCAAACATTTCTGTTAAAATGAACAGCTCTACTCAACATGGTACATGTTTTTCTAAAGACTGGCTAGCGGGGTTGAAATTAAAAAAAAATTATATTTTCTACATTTACTGTCTCTAATTCCCTTCAACCCAGCCTAACCAATCCTAATCATTCCCCCATAGCGTATGAGTGGTTCGCATAGACTATTCAGCCTGTACACTTCCCTAATCCTCGGCTTTAAATTGACTTGCGCTTCCATTGCCTCACCAAACGCTGCAAAATGAAAAAATGGGAATTAGTTTCGTTAAGGTGGCCATCTTACCCCACTTTCTTGAAATTTCAATCCCCTTGTTTGAAAGTTAATTAACAAAAATGTATTTCAAACCTTGCCATTGTTTTTCTAGGCTGAAAAACGTGCTCACCACAATGCGCTGGAACGAAAAAGACGCGATCATATAAAGGATAGTTTCACTTCCCTCCGTGACTCTGTTCCATCGTTGCAAGGCGAAAAGGTGAGTTTAAACTCACTGAGTTAGCATATTAGTACCACTGCGTTAAATTTGATGTATTTCATTGTATTTAGGCTAGCCGTGCACAAATATTGAAGAAAGCAGCAGAGTATATACAGTTTATGCGACGTAAGAATAACTCTCATCAGCAGGACATAGATGACCTGAAGAGACAAAATACCCTTCTGGAAACACAAAGTGAGTATCTATGTTCCATTTAACTAATATATGACCGTACTATTAATGATTAACGAATTTCTGCTTATGGGATTTTAATGTTGTTGAGGCGCAAACTTCTGAACATTGTCCCGGACTTTTTTTTTGTAACGAAGAGTAGGGTATTTATAGCTTTAGACAGATATAGGGTAGAGCGCTACTTCGTCGTATTTTCACCGTGCACAGATCAGTAATACGTTTGATCCGATAATTTATTTCAAAAACTACATAAAAGTGCAAAATATGAAAATTTACAACCATTGGTCGCGAAAACAAAAGAATTACTCCAAGCGAATTAATTTTTCCTAAATGACGAAGAAAATCCAATGGCTATTCAATGCGTTTGACGGAATTGAAATCCGTGTTGTGTTGTATTGTTAGCAAAATAAAAGCCATTTCTCGATTAGTTTTTCCAAGGGACGTATCAGCTTTTGTAAACCATGCTTTTGACCGTCGATCGGTAGCGCGCCCACGTATTTCCCCTACCTGATGATAGTGTTAGCATGCGTGGGCGAGCTACCAGTTACGCCAAATCGACGATCAAATGCATTGTTTGCAAAAGCTGATACGTCCCTTCGAAATAGTAATCGAGATTTGTGATTCTTTGTCAAATCCAAAGAATCATATGGAAATGAAAATTAATTTAGAAGTTATCTATAGTAGAACCACCGACGAATCGACATGACAGCTCATACAAGCTACTTTCAAATTTATGCCCAAGACGCCATATTTAAAATACGTTAAACACTACCGACATCTACACATCTAATCGCGTCATACCATGAGCAGGGACACGAACCCACGTATAATTTATATTGCCTTGGTTTGCGTCTCACCTCATTTGACAGATCTGATCGCCCGTTTGAAAGTTCGAATCGCTCGTTTGACAATTCGAATTGTGGAGAAACGAAATACTCCTGTGGCATCTCGGTTCGTCGGTGGTAGAACCATTCATTTTTTGTTCAAATCCGTCCGAAAAGAGAGGTTAAACGCGGGTTGTGCTTAGTAGGTTTAACCAGACTTAAATGTACTAATCGAAAACAGACCCTGTGCTAACTAACTGTAGTTGTAGTTGTTCTTCTCTGTTTCAATGACAGTAACTATTTTTCAATACTAAGATTGTTATAAAGCCGTCCATCGCTAGAACATTTTTCATTAATTGTTTACAACTTATTGATCGCAGTTCGTTCGCTAGAGCAAGCACGTGCCACCGGGAATTTCGGTGACGGCAGCGATCTCGGACTGGGCATGAACGATAGCTCACGCGAATCGGACAGTTCCGACGTAGACGATGGTGCGAGCAATAATGGCCTGGGCAGCGGAGGAATCCATCGGAATAAAAAGATGAAGACCAATTCAAACTATTGAACTGCAGTTTATGGTCAGAACGGCTCTACGTTAGAGCTAAAAGACATCAACGGAAGGATGAGGGGTTAAGATTTTACAAAGCAAGAGTGGCGAGGTGGACACTCACAATGTGTGACCATTTTATTATATATTTCAGCATAAAAACAAAACACGAAACGACACGAATCCTGAAAAGTTTATCCTCCCGTATTATTGCATATACATATGTGTTAATCTGTAAATGATGAAATTAGTTATATGAAATCATTTGAAGATAATAGTGTACAAAATAAATTTTCTCTTCCGTTTTATTTTACTTTTTTGTTCTCTTTCTTTTTTATATTTCTGCATTGAAATCCGTTCAAATCAAAGTTAAGGGAGTTAAAAACAATTGTCAGTGAATTAGAAGGAGCAAACAGGATAGTGTAAAAGTAAAATTATGGTGGATTTGAAATATTAGCTTTATGTGTTTTTTAAAATAATTTTGACTAATCATATTTCTTTATAGTTTTGATAACATTTTCGGATAGAATGAATAAAAAGAAATCCATGTATCATTGTAACATTTTCAATTTATCTTGTATTGTTTTGAACTTTTCTATAGTATTGAGACATCTGGTGGCACTTTCAAGGCACACTAAACATACCTGCTGGGGAAATCCATCGTCTTTCTTTACCTGGAAAAGAAAATTCGCATCAATTTGTTTTCTTTCCATACAGTTTGCTTACAAATTACTCAACATTTTCCGGAACATTTTGATTATCTTAGTGTGGCCAAGCTGCCATACATTCCTCTACGCCTCAGTATGTATAATAATGTATTAAAATACGTGATTGCTCCAATTGTGCTACGAACGTCATTACGAATATCCCATTTTCCCGAATGTCCCGTTTCCCCAAGTGCCATATCTTCGAAAAAAATATTAATTGTCTCTAAATTTATTCTAAAAGTACTACCTAGTTTGATCATGTTGATATTTGTGTCCATATGAGTTGATTATTTTGATTGTCCAGTTTTGTGTCGTTGCCGGTAGTAACACGCCACACAGTGGGACGAAATCAAAAAATTGGGATATGACTATTTGCGACGAAACTATTGAGCGTAGCATTTTTTTTATGTCTACTAGAATGTTTCTTCATTTGTTGAGTACTTTATTTGAGTAGTAAAAATGTTTGCTTTTTAAGCCTCGATAAAATAGATGCACATCTATGGAAATATTGTAGGGTAATTTGCCAATTGTTGCACAACTAGGCACGTGCTTTTTGTTATTTCGCGGTTTAACGTTTTTGAAGTAAAAATTCCTCAATAAACCCTTCAATGCGATTAATGTAGCATTTTCAGAGCTAATAAGCAGTGTATGTTCATAATAGCTTACGTTGTACTATTTTTTAAATGCGCATCAGAGCTCAATTGTTGCACGCATCATTTGCATTGAAATTCTATGATTGCACACATCGTATCTAATTATTACATGGGTGTGTATAAATTTCAATGCAAAATCAAGCTGAACATTGCATTAGGTCCAAAGTAACATTGATCGATTCTCTTCGTCGACTTTCTCTTTCGTTGATAACTTAAGCATATAACTGTTTCTTGTTGTGTTTGTCATATTAGATGCTAGATAAAAGCTTCTTTTATCGATCTGTGTGCCGAAAATACCTGAGAATATATTTACATGGCCGTGAGAAAGTCGACGAAGATAATCTGTCAATGTTACTTAGGGCCTAATGCAATGTTCAGCTTGAAATATGGTTAAATGCATATTAAAATGATTTTTTTTCAGTAAGAAGGACCATTCTCGCGTCACTTTTCAAATAGACCAATGTAACAAATGTTAACAAATCGAGTTAAGCGATAAAAACTATTGCTCTTCTGTCATTGTATGTGATACAAAAACATCCATCCAAATTTACTTTCATTTATTTAAGATAATCATTGATCAAAAATTGTCCAATGTACAGTTTGAAATGATGGGTACATGATTGTTACTTCGGTCATTCGGACTGCCTAACATGATTGGTGCTCATTTTCCAAAGGCGGGGCCAATCTAAAGTTAGGTACTATACTCTGAAATCTTTGAAAGGGAATCTAGTATCATATCTGTTTTACATGAAACGTTGCATACCTTTAGGCGTTATCCCTATAGACAATAATCCCGGACCAAGAGTCCAAATGTGATCTAATTATTGAATATTAATACTTTTTTTTGAAAATTTTGCATGATTGATCGATGTATTGCAGTTCATCGATTGATAAAATAAAAACCAACATCTTCCTGCGCAGATTAATTTAATTGCATTTTGAGCTAGTAATAGGTAAAATAAACTACTGAGGATTATTGGCTGTAAAATTAAGAAATCACCTTAAATCATATGCACAATGTCAAAAATACTTAGAACATGTTTGATCACAGTATTTGTTACACTGAATATCAAAAACACATGTTTAATCTTTGAACAACTGATCACTGATTAGCATGTCACCATGATTGGTAAACTTCATGGTCATAGTTAAATGCTGCACAGCAAACAATGTGAAATGTGCAACAATTGGCTGGTAAGCAACAATCGGCAAATTACCCTCGATGAAGTCATTTCAAGAAACTTTGTCGAAGATTAAATTTTACCATTTTTTCAATGTTGTAAGTGCTTTAACAATGCACATTTTTTCAGAAAGAAAAAAATCGTTATCTTTTCGTTCTATGGATTTACGTCAGTTTTTATATCAAATCAAATCAAATCAAATCAAATCAGTTTGACCGCCCACGGTTGCTGCTCTGTTATTACCAGATCAGCTGCAATTACACAGAGAACCAACAGATGATGTTTGGGACTAACATTCATCCTCAATGTGTAAGAACTGGAGATCTAATATTTAGCAATACCAGCGCCGGCCGTGTCCGAATGCAGGTCAACTAGGGAATGGGAAGGAATGTGTTGACGTGGTACTCGCTGTGAAGGAAACCGAGAAATCCTCTGCGCTTCCACGAGAAATCACTGGGATGTTGGATGTGGGGAAAGGTTGCACGCACACGCAGGGATCGTTTTTTGGTAGAGCGATTATAATACACAAACACACACACACACACACACACACACACACACACACACACACACACACACACACACACACACACACACACACACACACACACACACACACACACACACACACACACACACACACACACACACACACACACACACACACACACGCGCGCACTCATCCAATTTCTATTTTTAGATCAGGACCCACACTGTGGTAAGTGATGCGATCGCACAGTGGTTCAAAACCCCCCAAAACGTGCGTTTTTTATTTTTCGGTATGAAAACGACATTTTAGAAGGATGGTGTCTTGGGAAAGGTTGCAGAGTTTTCAAAGGGCTATCGTTTGGTGCTGAGATATTGCTGATCTATCCACCTAGAAGGGCAGGGCAAAATTATAATTTTACAAACTTGCTCAAATCATGATGGTGTCTTCAGCAAAGTTGTAGATTATGTCAAATGAAACAACTTTGCTGAAGACATTAACTTCGTAAAACGATTGCGTAACGAGTTAACGAACGTTTTCTTTAAATGACCTCCCAAAAACAGTTTTTTTTAATAACTTTTTTGGACGCGATTTTATCAACAAGGTTTGTTCTAGAAATTTATTTGCAATCACAAAACACACATTTAACTTGAAGACACTTTACCTCTCTGACCATAACTGTCAAAGTTATAAACAATATTATAGTCAAAATACGCATTTTTCACGTCGACACACAATAAAAACCGGCAAAAACCGGCAAACCAAACAGTTTCCATTCGAAAGATACGCTTTCAAACTACAAAACACCATAGGTTTTATCTTGTTCTGTAATGTTCTTCTATTGATTTATCCTCATTCAAAGAGGAGCGTATTTTCCTCATACAGCATTCCGGTTTTACCTTTGGTCTTCAGTTTGCTATCCTACTAACACATTCACATCTTTATATAAACACAATGTTTACCGAGTTTATGTGAGAGCTAGACAAAAATAAATTACAGTTTTTGATCAACCACGTGCTGCTTAGTTTCAGTTTGTTTGTGCTAGCAATTCGTACCGTTCAGTTTATTGCGTTAGACGATCTTTATCTTAAAATCTAACATGGAGTCCGAAAAGATGTGCAAACTTTCAGGTACGTAAAAATAATAACATTGATACTTCCATTTTGCTGTATACCTAAAATGCAAAGTAATTTGTTAACACAGAGGGTATTGATAGACGGGATCTGTTCCTCTCCTGGAAAGAAGCTTAAGGAACGTTAAAGACAAAAAGCTCTGCAGTTACATATAAAGTCATAGAATTGTATAGTATCGATACGGATCTTATGCCGGAAGTTCATTCCGAGGTGTCAAAAATTACAGAAGTATTGTGCAAACAATTCAAGCGTCTTTGGATTAAACAACACCGAAAACATAATATTCTTACCCGTTGTTTTTAAGGTCGCCCATACCACGCCGACAGGGTGTTCATTTTACCTCAACGGTTTAATTTCGGTTACAAAAGAACATTTTTTTAAAATCTTCTTGCTTTACTTTTAATATTCAATTTGTATTCATGGTGTAAATAGGGCTTGAAACTATCCATTTGGTTAAACATCATTCGAAATTTCCACTGAATTTTGTCTGATTAGTGCTGATTTTCTTAAGGTGGCCAAACTGCCCCACTTTCCCCTACAAATTCATGCATTGGTTTGCAGAAAGCTCTCAATTAATCAAATACTCCAGCAATTGCTTAAAGTAAAACCAAGTTTCATCAACTAAGTAAAAAGTAATTAACAAAGAACTATTTGTGTAAATAAATGAGCATTCCAATCCTGGCATAATGGTCATTTGACATAAATGTGAAAAAAAAACTTTATTTTCACCAATACCAATAGATGTTTTCCTCTCTGGGATGTATTTCAACGGAATAAGAAGTTTCATCAACTAAGTAAAAAGTAATTAACAAAGAACTATTTGTGTAAATAAATGAGCATTTCAATCCTGGCATAATGGTCATTTGACATAAATGTGAAAAAAAAACTTTATTTTCACCAATACCAATAGATGTTTTCCTCTCTGGGATGTATTTCAACGGAATAAGAACAGCTCATTATAAAAAAGAAGGAAATAATTATTTAATGGGTATTTCCCCTTCTTTTGAACCTAAACTGTCCTTTCATACTTTTATGCCAAACGGCGGTATGCTACTTGAAATCATGCCAACCGGCGTAGAGCTGAAAATTAATATCTATTCAAACTGAAGATTCTAGGTATACACATTCAGTATTAGGTATGTGACTGTTATGCGAATAGCGGCAGTATATGTGCCTATAACCTAAGTGCCAAAAATGTTTATCGTTAGAAAGTTTAACGTACTTACCGCACCAGGCAATATTGATTCCAGAATGTATGCAACCTCACTACCATCATCGAATATCGGTATGAGCAGTTCATTTTCTTTAGCTGAAAGACAAAGTCGACAACTTGAAAGCCCAATTATGATTTCGGAGTACGTGCTCTCAACATCGCCATCGTCCTGCCGTTGCACGTGCTGAGGTGTTGCTGAGTCGATTATGGTCACGATTTGCTCTTCTTTGTCCTCATCTTCTTTTACATCATCATATTGAACCACTTCAGTGATTTCCGTATCAGAGTACTGATGCTCACTAGTAATGATTAAATCGTCAACTGTTGTCAAGAGCAAAGGTTCCATCAACCCTGCCGGCATTTGTATGTCATCACATTCATTTAGCCTCTCAACAATGATGCTGTTCTCTGAATCGATTTCATCGGACGACTGTTCTTGGTACTGTATTAATGAAACTGCATCGTCTTGTGTTATAACTCGCCGTTCTTCCTTCAAAGACTTCGAAACGCATTCATTAAAATTATTGTGGAAAATTGTTGGTATCGGAACCACGACAGGGCGCGAAGTTTTTTTCAGCTTTCTATTATGCGGTGGATCTTGGAAGCAGTCATCGGAGAAGTGTTCCGAACAGAGGAAATATTTTATTATATTATTTATACTTTTCTCCAGCAAATCTTCTCGACCAGCTGCCTTGGCCCAAGCAGAAGCACTATATACCGTTAAATTAAAGAAAAATTACTTAGTAATTTAGGTAGGTAAATAAACTACTTACAAGTCAGTGCTTTTCGGAAAACCAAAATACTCCACCGATCGATTTGTTGCTACAGAATTGTAGCATGATGCAGCACAACATCGTTTAGACATTAACTAGCAGAAAAGCCCACAGATTTCGACAAAATGTGCTTGAAAACTCTGATCTGATCTGATTCTGGAACTGGAGAAAATGAGATATGAGATGTTCAACTACAACCAGTTTTTCGTCGACACCGATAACATTTTGTTTACAAACAAAATGAACTCATTAAAGACGAACATACACGGTTCAAGTGAGTTGATGCAATCCATCCCAGATTTAGTTGTTGGTAGTCAATCGACTTGAAAGCAAACAGAAAAAAGTAGAACATCGACCAGCTATCTGGTCGTTCAGTTTGCAGCGCAAGTGAGTTCCTCGTCGAATCAAACCGTCACTACCGGGATTAAAGGTCTATCCGTACGTGGACGGCACGGTTCTCATCAGAGATGCCAGATTTGTCTCCATGGTGTTTCGTAGACTTGGTTGAATTCCACTGATTTTTACGGATTTTTATCAGAGGCAAAACAATCCGATTCAATGAATGAATGATGAATGAAAATCATTCATTAAAGCTGATATCTGCCTTCACATTCACTTCCTCGTGAGCGACTGATTTTTTTTAAATGTAAACAATTCACTTTGTTTTCATTGATTGAGCATTTTCTATTAAAATGCCTCAATAAAAACAACTTTTTTAGCTGAAGCACCTAGGTTAAAACACCCTAATACAAAAATACCATTCCCGAATAATACCCAAATGATAGAAGTATTTTAAAAATGGTTTAGATGATACACTAAACACGTCGGTAAGCAAAATAAACATACAAATAAATACGTTAGGGCATGTATGTCAATTGAGATGAATTTGAAATAATAAATAGTAAAAAGGCCATGGTTTTAATCCATTAATCAGCTCACTTGAAAAGTTTAGCCTGGTTCACGCAGAAAAAAATATTATCGAAATAAAAATATTTGACGTAAATATAAACATAAACTCATGTCGTTTTCGTTTTTGCGGTGTAGCTACACCGGTGCTACACTGCCGTACACCGAAATATTTTAGGGTCTAGATATAGGATGCATCTTTGTTTACAAACAAATGATGTTGAGCTGTCAAAGGCTCGCGCTTATTCCTGCTTACACTACACCAGTGCTACACCGCAAAAACGAAAACGACATCAGTTTGTTCTGGCTCCAAAAATAAATTAGATTGATTTCAAACGTATGTTATGTTTAAAGTCATGTAACATCAATGTTCAAAATAAAAGTCATGCTACGTTTATTTTAAAAATATTCGTGCTTAAAAAAATAAACGTGAATATTTTTGCTTTGACAGCTTTATAATCAAAAATAAATATTTTTATTTTAAACATGATTTTGATGTTTATATTAATCGTACTTAATGTTTAGCGTAGTTTTCTATTTATTATTATAAATTATTTTCGGATGAAACAAATAAAAGTGCTCGATTAGGTTAAATCACCAATCGTGCGCTTATATTTGCATTACCGTCGTCTTATGATCTGAATGCAATCACATCCGTATGCAGGGATCAGTCCTTCATCCAGAGATCAGTTCTTCACCACGAATGATGAGTAATCTTCCGGAAAACCCCCCGGTAACAACGAATGTTCTGTGAAGATTCACCAGCTCCAGTGTCGCTCCGTCCAGCTCTTGATCTCGTTTTCTACTTGGTCTTCTGCGCCATCATCACCGCCAAACGTTCCCGTTTGGCCAGCTCCCACCGGACAATGATTCCATTCTTATTCGCCACGTACAGAAACCGATCATTGTCAGTCAAACACAAACACGTCAGTGACAGATGCTGTCAAATTATTGATATTTCGATATTGTTGAAATAAACAGGCTTTTGAATTTAATTCAAACATACATATTATAGTTTTAAACATCCTTTCAATTTTCCGGTTTTTGGAGGCGAACCAGCCCAAGGCTGAAAGCCTCCTTAATAAAGCTAAATAATAATAATAATAATCCTTTCAATTTACTTTGAATGATAAGAGATGAACTAGCCTAAGGCTAAACATCTCTAAAATAAAGTTAAAAAAAATACTTTGAATAATTCATATGTTTAGAGTATAAACATTTATATTTTTGATTTAAATGAACAAAATTCGTGTGTTCAACTTTTTAAAATTCAAGGCAATTTATCAACTCACTTGAATGGCAGGGTTTACACATCATTTGAGCAGTTTGAAATGAAGTTTCCTACCATTCAAACTTTGTCGTGGAGCAAGTTTGAATTTTTTTCGAGAACCTCGAGGAAATACTGTGTTATTTATGCATGCTATACTAGAAAAATATATAGAATTTATTGCTTCATTTTCTTAAAATCGCTGGTGGAGGGTCGTCTTAATACTGCTAAGCAATATGACTAAATGATTAAAACCATGGTTTATTTTTGAAACAGATATCGCTAGTAAAAAAAAAAGGCGATGATTTATTTTATATGCAGAAAACGGGTAAACGTCCAGGTGTGTGATTTTAACGAAATAAGGAACTTTTTTGAAAAAAAAAAGAAAAATTGGTGTCGGTGCTGGGTATTTTTTTTTCTCAAATCGTTTCTCAAATCGATATTTCTATACATAATTTTTGCGGTTTACTTTTCGCTTTTAGGAAAGTAGCGTCATGCTGTCAGTAGTTGTGAGAGCAGAACTTAAAGCATACAGTGATCCATTGACTCAACCTGATCTATAGAGTTTTTTTTACGTCCGGTTGTAATTGGTGTGATATGTGAGAGAGTGTTAGCTCTATGGTGTTAGTGAACATCCGAGAAAAATACATAACAAATCACTGTCAAACTAATTTTGACAGATCTAATTTCATACATTTTTTTAGGTTAGTCAGAGGAAAATAATAAACAACTTTACACGGCGATGCACCCGCTAGCGTGCGTGCGTTAAACGTCAATAATCTCAGGGCTGCCCGAATAATTTTTTTCCCAGTTTTGATGTCTACATCAGCATAGAAATCAAATGTATTCCTGATGTAAAACATTAGAAAACATTATGATTTAGTTGTATTTAAGCAAGGTTACATCATAGACTCGATCATAGAGTTACCTCTAAGACCAGAAGGTCCCGAAGAAACGTGCTCAACTTTTTGGCTCCGCTCTGGTACTACACAGCAAAAAAAAATGTAATATCGATCAATGTAATTCAAGCTGATGCATGAAATAATGATGTAATAGCAAAAAGCAGATACAATATAACATCAATGGATGTAATTTTGTTCGCAAAATCGATGTACATCGTACAACGTTATATTACACAACCGATGGATTGACCTGGTTGCAGCAGTTTGGATGTAATATTCAACAACTTTTTTTTCTGTGTATCTTCGGTCCCAAGCTAATCGATGCACCCCTCGAAACATAGGAAAATCGACGAACCCCTCATTTTGTCTGCCAGGTGTAGTACTAGAATTTCGACTAGCATGGTGTACACTTATAGATGTACTTCGGACCATAGGCTAGTCAAGTAGTTAGCCAATTTAAAATCGTTAGTTTCCACCGGTTCATTGAAGTGCATTCTTTTGGATGCAATATTAAAATTTATTTTTTGCTGTGTGTGCTCTGACCAATCTAAAAAAATGTATGAAATTGTATCCATCAAAATGAGTTTGACAGCTACTTGTCATGTATTTTCCTGAGATTTTCACTAACACGCTGTCACATATAGCAACAATACAACCGGATGTGAAAATTTCTATATACCAGGTTGCCATTGACTTGCCTCGTTTAAACCCAGAACCCAGCTTTTACCTTGGGACAAACGGTCTGGATAAAGCAACTTTTTCCAGAGCAAAAATAAGAACTCGTTCGTGACTTTTTCATTATTTGTTTACAATTGCATTATTGAGACAATATTTTGAAATGTTCGGAATAAGCTTTAAAATGGCTATTAAGTAAGAATCTGATCAACATCAAGACAAACGGTCTAATATGCTTTTGCTGCATTATCTCAGGCCCGTTTATTTTGATGTTTAAGTTTTCTTTGTTGAGCATGTTTACAATCATGAGTGATTATGGCAATAAATTAATCGTACTTTTTCATTGGTTTTTATTATTTTACAATTTAATTTAAGGATAACATTTTTAGTGTTGATCCTAATATATTTATTTATTTATTTATGTTAAGGTCAACAGGGAAAATATTCACTTTAATGACAGTATACTTATTCTAATAAATATAAAATACTCTTGAAATTGCACTTATTTCTAAAACGGGAAACATTGAAGTCAAATACATTGTAGCATCTGTTAAAGATGCGACACATCCTCCGCATAGGCTCATTCCATCCCTCGTTCCATCCGTAGTTGATTCGTGAGAGGCGGTTGTTCAGGAAAGCATGCGATCGTAGATTACGGCGGCGGGTATTGATGTCGATACTACTCAGCAGTGTAGAACAGTCAATGTTTCCCTGAAGAAGATCACCGAGGAAGCTCACCATTGCTACGTTACTAATACTTTCATCTTTCGAACGAATAGAGATCTCCAAGCGCAATCTCACGAACACTAAAATCCAACATCCATACATAAAAATAAAGAAGAAGAAGAAACAAAAAGGTATCGCGATATCACAACTACTTAAAAAGGTAGCGCGCGGTCTCACGCACACTTTTGTGCATCTGGAGAACTCTATATGGTTAAGGGACGTAAGCCTTGGTGTTGGTCCTGATCGTTGAATTTTTTAAAGCAGCAGTTGGATTTTTGTTTGACAACCATTTCGAGTGACTTTGCACCACTCAGATCATTATAAGCGACATCACATAATCAAATTTAGTTTTCACCCGTAACGTGGGTAGATCACCTTTTCGTGGTACGCTACGCGATGTAAGATCTACTAAATTTGGGGAACAGGATTTTTCAGTAATCAAGGAACACATCTTAGCCGTTGTTACTTTTTATGCCTTGTTGATAGTGGCAAGACTCGGTTTTGGCCACCGACGATGATCTTGAAACAAGGAAAAAATGAGTTAGTTAGTCTTCATCCATGTGATTCCTAATCTTCTATTCATTGTTCCCTAGTTTGAAGTGGTTAAGACTAGGGTTCTGATGCATGGTCATTATCGGTGTCATTGCTTAATTTTGATGCTAAGTAATCTAATTTGTCTGACAAAAATCGCGCCATTGGAGGGTGCTCTTACTCTTCGAAGGGTATAAATAGCGGGCCCTTTAATAAGGATCGATTCCTTGCGATGAAGGCAAGAATGACAACTGTATATAAACCGAACCTACTTCATAATTTCTCAATAGTGATGGGGTAATTATATACTATTACTATAGAATTGAGCTTTAGATGTGTCGCCCCCGCTTCAAATACACTCTGAATTTAATTATATAGGGGAAATGGCTCTAATGTTGACCTATCGATCTAAGATTGGGCCCATCGTAGAAAATATTTTTTTTCCTTTGGTTTGTTTTGCGTCGATCTTGTTTTCCGTGCTGAGCACCAATGCTACCGACGCACAGTGGTGCCAAGGGTATCAAAACACGCGCTTTTTTATTTACGCTGAAATGGATGATTAAAGGAACTAGGTGTCTTCTGAGAAGTTTCTCTGGTTACAACACTCCTTCTTATGGTAAAAGAAAATTAAAGATTAATCCACCTAAAAGTGAGATGCAAAATTTATTTTTTTAGTATGATGAGATACAAAATAATTGTGATAGGCGAAGCTGTAGAAAACATTACTGTAAACAACTTTGCTAAAGACTTTAACTTTCTAGTTCTTATAGATGCTGAGATATAAAGGTTATTTCTTGGAGACATCGTTAAAATCAATTTTGTATCTGTAACTTTTTCTACAATATTTCTACATGTTTGACATGTTCTACAAAGATGTTAGAAATATCAAATTACACTCGTAAACTAGTAGATCAATATCCATGGTACTATCTCCCCGTGTCTGTTCATAAAGTGATCATACACGGGGCGAAAGTGATTTCTTCGTTTCTAATACCCATTGAGCAACTATCTGAAGAGTGCCAGGATAGCAGAAAAAAAGCTACAAAGCAATACAGAACCCACCACATAAGAAAGTTTTCCAGAGAAGCCACGAATACAGATCTTCTTCGCCGTCTTCTGGAATCCTCCGGTCCGTTAATTTCCAACATGAGGGAATTACCGAAAAACAAGAATGAGGTGTGCTCCGGGGATGCTCTGCAACTTTTGGCCATCACATATGACAACGGCGAGAACAGTGATAGCGACGAAGAGGAAACTGTAAGCGCTCTTTGAGATTCGTACAATTTGAATCGGAACGTAATAAACATTAAACATGAATGATTTTGGCATTGTTTATTGACAAAATCGAAAAATATTTAAAGTACATACACGGTAAGAAAAAAGTACCCAAAATTGAGTTCGTTTCACTCATCACGTGGCTTCCGTGGGGCTAGGTAAAATTAAGTTAAAGAAGAAAACTCAATTTTTAATAATCCTGATCATGATGACCAAGTTGACAAAAAAAATAATAAAACGGAGCAGACTGGAACCGAACCATGGACGTTTAGATTACGGGGCCCGTGTGTTGACCACTCGTCTATCAACGCTTGTGAAAATGAAATGGTTAAAGGCGCATAAGAGCAACCTCAATGAAAATAAACTTATATTTGAGTTCATTTATTATTACTCAATAGTTGAGTAAATTTTAATCAACGTCGCTTTTCTGATTCACTCAACGGCGGACCTCAAATGATAGAACCCAACGTTGAGTTTTTTTAAACTTAATTTTGAGTATTTTTTCTTACCGTGTAAGCGATTCAGTCAAGGATCGTTTGGTGGTAGTCTGGTTTTGATCTCGAGTCATGTTGTTAGTCACTAGAAATAACCCAGATTGTATGTCTCTTTTCACACCTACTCGAAAACAGTCCCGTGGTTTCACAAAATCGCCATTTCAAATTCTGAAAAGTGACAAGTTTCAATGCAAGTATTTCGGTTAAGGGTCACGTGGGGGCGATCTGGTTTCTTCACCATTTTATTGAACTTTCTTGTACTTTCAATTGCTCAAAGAATGGCCTGCTTGTTTTTGCCCGTTTAGAAGTTATTGATATTGGAAGTTGGGTAATTTTCAACCAAAAAATGTAAATAACTTTTCATATATTAATGATAGCGATTTGCAGTCTTCTGAAAAGATATGTAATTTAAAATTTCTAACATCTTTGTAGAACATGCCAAACATGTAGAAGTATTGTAGAAAAAGTTACAGATACAAAATTGATTTTAACGATGTCTCCACAAAGTAACCTTTATATCTCAGCAACTTTGAGAACTAGAAAGTTATAATCTTCAGCAAAGTTGTTTACAGTAATGTTTTCTACAGTTTCGCCTAGCACAATTATTTTGTATCTCATCATACTAAAAAAATAAATTTTGCATCTCACTTTTAGGTGGATTAATCTTTAATTTTCTTTTACCATAAGAAGGAGTGTTGTAACCCGAGAAACTTCTCAGAAGATACATAGTAACTTTAATCAACCCTTTCAGCGTAAATAAAAAAGCGCGTGTGTTGATACCCTTGGCACCACTGTGCGACGCCAGGGTAGCCAGGGTAGTAATACCTGGAAGTGCGCCCACCTTCCAGCGGCAGTTAGGCAAGCCTGAACAGTCAATAATTTTTATTATCAATGAAATGTCACTAAACAATGGACGTTCCCTGGGACGTACCAGATCCACGCTTTATTTCCTCAATCGGAAGGGAAACATTGACTATGACTATTACTATAATGGGATCAAGAATAAGTGTTTCTTGTGCAGGATGGAGGGGCACTGGAACAATTCCTGCACAAAGAGAAGGCTCGGAAGCAGCCAGGTAATTCAAAACATAAACAGGATGAAATGCACAACGGAAGCAGTACGTACGCTGGCGTGGTGGAAGGAGGTACATCGTTGGAAAGCATGCAAATAATCACCAGCCACCGGTATTTAACTATCTGAGGGATGGATGGACTTGATATTTATTGTAGACTGGACGGAAGGACAGATCTAAAACTATGAGAACAGCTGTACCTAGAGCTCTACGGTCAAATTGATACATAGGCCTATTCTGCAAGGCGTGTGAGGGTGAGTTGAATTGACTTGCTAGTGAAGTGATTGTCACTTCCGGTGAAATTTGATTTGCATGGAGACTCACTTCACTGTCACTTTACCTCACACGCCGCGCAGAATAGGCCTAAAAATGTATATTTGGAATTCGGATGTATATGAAAGGATGCATCTCTTCGGACGGGATCAATTCGGTTTATTTTAGCTTGAATGCATATACAATACGCATTTTAAAAGTTTTATTGTAGTAACCAATGCGTGATTAAAGTATTAACATTAAGTACAATCGACTCAAGAATGTGAAATAGACACGATTGTAGAGTTATTTTTCTCAGTGTCATTGAAATGTCAGATGAATTTCATATAAAGATTCTTTTATCTTCTTCGACATAGTATCCTACAACTTCATTTTGTAGGTTGGCAAGAATGGCACGTACCGCGTCCATTTCCAGCTGTAATAAAAGATATGAACCATTAGAAAATAAATACCACTTTCATTAAATCTATGCTTTTACCTTCTCAACAATTGCATTCCGTATGGGAAATCAAAGGTTGAGGTCATTTCATCGTTGGTTGTATCTTCAACTTTAAGTGCCATTTCGTTACTCCATGCTATCAATCCGCGTTCTTCCGGAGTTCCGGGTATAAGGTTGTCTAAGACACATCCCAGACATCCACCGACAAGAATGCTAGTGCCAAGTAATACTGAAAGTGTTGAGTCTAGTGTTTCGTTACCGGTTTGAATGAAATCTGGATGATCTTTCAGCCACAAGCATAGCACGAGAGGGAAAAAGATTGATAACCCTAGTATGTAGAGATTTCGCGCGGAGCGTAGGTCAACGTACTGCAAGGCAGATAGTCCGAAGGCGGCAATCATACCGAACATAACACAGAATATTCCGCCAACTACAGGATCAGGGATCATTATGAACGCCGCACCAAATTTGTTTAGCACCCCTTGCAAAATCATGATTAGTGCAGCCCACTGGATCACACGACGGCTGCCAACTTTCGTAACACCAATAGCGCCAACATTTTCTCCAAATGTGTTAGTACCGTTTCCAGATCCCCACAGACCAGCCAGAACTGTACCAAGACCTTCGGTACCGATACCACGATTTATGGCATGTAGTGGAGGTGGCGGTGCACCACACATCTGTGAAACTGTTGGGTAGTAGCTGATAGACTCCACAGTGCAAGCTAAGACTCCAGCTAGCATTCCCAGCACACCAGCCAATGTTACAGTTGGCATACCAAACTGACCGGGGTACGGAATCCGGAACCACGATGCATCTAGTAGCACTCGTATGCGAACATCCGTGCGTGCTGGGTGACCTTCCGGAAATATGTTGGTTGCTGTTAATACCGCACACAATGCCCACATGATGACAATTGTGAGTAATACTGGGAAAAGTTTGAAGAGAGGGAACCATCCAACCTGAATTCCATGTCCTTTTCGATATTTGAGCGTAGGAACTTGCACTTCGGTCATACCTTGAGAGAATAATGTCATGAGAAATATGGTGGCAACCGCTATTCCCCAATGTTTTGATGCAGTTTCACTAGCATGTGAAAATAGAGTCAAACCAACTAGTGATACAGTTGGAACTATAGTTAATGGCGTTATAATTTTCAAAAGCTTTCCAACCAGTCCGGTATATCCTATAAAAACTTGGAACAGTGCTGACACCGCGATAGCTCCAGAAAGCTCTCGCATTCTTATTTGCCATAGTTCACTTTTCTCATCTGGGTTCATGGTTGCTATTACATCTTTGCTGGGACACTGCCACTGGGGCAGATTTAGAATAGCTAACGTTGGCACTAAGAAGGATATGGTACCACCTTGAACGATTGGAAGGCGACATCCCCATGTTGCTTGAATATACGTAACTAGTCCCGTTACGAAAATCATTGTTGAAATGATGATTCCTCTCGAGGGATCTTCGTCTTCCATGCATAGTGCCGGTGTGAGTATGAACGGTATTGAAACTATTGCACCGATCATTGTAAGGTAGTGCTGGAATGAGAATGAATGTAAACTGAGAATTTAAGTATCCTGTTTTTGTAGGTGAGATTTCTATATTACACACTAAGATTATTTTACAGATATCTGTAAAATTTTACCGAAATCTCAACAGCTGAACGTTCGGTAAACCATTTTACAGTTTTCCTGTAATTATTTACAGATATCTGTGAAAAATTCACAGATATTTGTGAAAAATTACAGGAAATCTGCGAAACTGTTTACCGAACGTTCAGCTGTTGAGATTTCGGTAAAATTTTACAGATTTCTGTAAAAATTTCTAAGTGTGTAGGTTTGAAACTATAGTGTTAATATTTGTAAATTTAAATGTATTTATGGATTGTGCCACGTTTGGCATAAGATCAGCTAGCCTAAAGTCGTTTATCATAATGGATGTTTGACGTAATGGTTGTTCTGCATAATAAAATAACATATAACATACATTTTGACTCACAACATCAAATCCGAGTCAGAAGACAATTTTGTTTTGTTTTTTTTTAGCGTAAATTGATGTGTCACATGCGGTCCACGGAACCGGATTTTGGAAGACCACCGTGACCAGATTACGTCTAGAAGAGTTCTCTCGTACACCATCATACTCGGGGAGAATAGTGGTTCTCGGAACCGAATGTAGGAACATGCGGATTCTGGCCACCGCGGCAAGCCACGTCCAGGTGGGATCTCTGGTGCTCCATCGTACTCGTCATTAAAAAATAGCGTAAATTGATGTGTCGCATGCCCATGTTCTGTCTGAATGATAAGTAGTCTTCGGAACCGAACTCCGGAATATCCGGTATTTGGCCTAAGTGGTGATCGAAGGTCTCAATGTTCTTTGGGGTTCTGCAATAATTACGTGTAGAATTTTCCAGGAATTTCAACCCCCTCCCTCCATTGTAAGCTTTAGTTATATTTTACAAACCCCTATTAGTTTGTACCAGTAAAAAATTGAGAAAACTAGAGCCAAATGAACAACACAATTTATGACAGCAAAATAATACAGGACGCGAAGGTTAAAATGAGTTCCACATTTTTTGTTATGGCACATTTTCACGCGCTTTTCACGACATTATTTAATGTTTTCACGACTGAAACTTCGAATTCGCGAAAAATCCGCAAAAATCACGGAATCTGCGCCTGTTTTAACATCCAGGGCTGTGCATTGGTGTTTAAATATATTTAAGAGCTAGAGATACCTACTTTGCCAATTACAACGCAGTAATCGTTATGATGTTTGGGTTATATCTCAGCAGGTATGCTGCAAACATCAATGTTGACAAGAAATATGACTAGGCATTATCTAATCTAATAATTATCCAGGATGCTTTCTTGCATTGGCTGTCTTTGAATTAGATTAGATTAAAGTGTCCATCTTGCAATGTATGAACGACTTGTAGATATAAGTTGTTGATCGCGCACGGAACTTTGTTTCCCTACGTTGTGATATTTGCGAATTAGTGATAAAAAATAGACCGTCTGTTGGACCATCCTGCCATGGCAGAGGCATAAGAACTATTGGCAAATCAAAGTTGGCACTCGTGGAGAATAGATGAACTATGAGTGTAATGATGGTTTCAATATTTTACACGGTGAGGTATACGAGTGCAATGTTAAAATGCTTTTATTTTGCAAATGAAGCATTATATTTTAATCTAATTAAAATTAAGACTTTATAATTTTTCTAAATGTCACTATTGAAAATTGCACGAATGTGCAACTGTTGCTATAATAATTAAAATTATCACCGATTGCCTGCGAAAGCGCTTTCCCTAACACAGATTTCAAAATTGAATTCCATCCGGTCTCACCGACCGCGTGTGTTAAGTGGTGGTGTTTTCCAGTACACAACGAAAGGCTCCCCGCAAGCAGCTAGCTTTCAAGGCTGCTCTCAACCGCTGATCGGATTCAGTTGCTCGTAGTGAGCCACTGAGGGCCATCTAAGCCAAGCGCCTGCCGGTGTTGAACACCTTAATAGCTCAGCATTACTCAACCATCACGACAGAAGGGTTCTTTTCAGGACCACCATAAATTATTGGTGTTTAAGAATTAATTTTCATTGAACGTTAGCTCGCCTTGCTGCCAGTCACATCACCCCAAAGTTATTTGATAATGTACCCAGCAACCAAATGTTTGCGTAATGCGTAACACTATTGAAGTGGTACATTGAAATATTTGCAATGACCGAATACCACATGACCTTGTCAATTAGCCAGAAACACTTCGAAATTAGGGTAAGGTTTTCTCCAGGACGCTAGAAAAAACAAATCTAGAATTTATATTATTGATCACGAATATCACGCGATTGGAAACATTTTTGCAAGTATTCCTCCAATAAATTTTCGCTTTTTATTATTGTGAATAAACCAAAAATTTCGTTCGTTTTGTGCACGAAAATGCGTAATTTTGTCATCAGAAAACGAGACGTTACCGTGATGGGAAAAGAGGTTTCCCTAACACTATCGCTGAATATTGATACCGAACAAGTAATCCTACGTCAAATGTACGGTCGTGCCTCGGACCTCTTGCTTTATTTTTTTTTTATATAATGTTTTAAATATTTTAGTGATAATTTTGATTTTTTTCTAGTGCAGTGATTTTTAAGTGAAAGTTATTAAATTATGAATGTTACATTCAAGGGTTTTTTATTGCTTTCCGTACATTTTACGATCTACAATAAAGGTTGGAACGTTGAACATGAGATAAAATCGCTGACGGAGCAACAAACGCTATTGACCGACAGCATTAACAATAATACACGGGTTGTCCATCGTTCAACTTAGCAAAATAACATGAAAGTTGTACATGAAGTCAGCTTTAAGTGTGTGGTTTATTTCCTGTTTATTCCGTTGTAATTGCTTATCTTTTGTCGAAAGATAAGCAATTATAAAGGAATTAAAAGGAAATAAACCAACACACTCAAAGCTCTTTATAAAGGGATTCTGTTAAGAGGTTCGACAAATTTAAAAGATATTCCGATTTAGTTTTGATGAAATCTCGAACTTTTCTTCGAATACCACTCATCATATTTTGGACACTCTGTTGGCTAACCTATGTGACCGTTTTGTTACATCATCTCTTCATCTCTGTCGCATCCCGAGTAACCTTCCCACTCTTCTTCAAGTTTTGTTTGACAATTGCCCAACATTTCTCAATTGAGCAGAATTGAGGGCAGGATTGATGTCCTTTTTGAAGAAATCTACCCCGTTGTCTCGATACCACTGTAGAACTTCTCCGCTGTAGGGGCAGCTTGCCAAAATCAGGCCAAACTTTACAGGTCCATTGTGAGCCTTAATATACGGAAGAATGCGTTTTTTCAGGCACTCCTGCTTGTAAATTTTGGAATCCATAGTCTGGTTTGTCACGAAAACCTGGGTTTTTTGTCCGCAACTGTAAATACCTTGCCAGATTATAAAAGAAAGCTTCGGCAAAAACGAATTTGAACTTGCTAGGGACATCAGATGCCCATAATCCAACTTATGGGCACGTCTTTTCGCAACTATATTCTGCTTCAGTGTCCTGTTTGGTTGCTTACTGGCCCGAAAAGATCGAAATCCTTCCCGTTGACGAATCTTTCTGACGGTGCGTTGGCTGGCATTGAATTTCTTGGCGATATCATAATCCGACCGCCCTTGGTTTGCCCTAACCGTTCTCAACACCTTCAAATGCAACTTCCGATCCTTAGTTCCACTACGACGCTTGCGATGATCCTGCCAATCGATAGTATGCCGCTCACGGAAACGTTTGAGAACACTGCACACGGTCGATTTAGCCAATTTCAACGGCTTCGCGATTTTTGAACCTGACCACGTCGGATTTTACAAGTGGGTATCCAACATTAATTTTCGGTTCACGGCTGCCATCAAGTTTAACTTCTTTTAAACAAAATGAATCGTGGCGAACTTTTCAGCACTGAAAGAGGAAACATTTCAACATAAACTGCTGTCTAACATTCCAGATCCGACCGCTAGGAGCACTGTGGTAAAATAAACAGTTTGTCTAGGAATTGGGAAAGATTGAATCAAGCAAGTCAAGAGCAAATTTTCATTATGTCGAAAGTAATATTCGCACCGATCCGAGAAAAATAAAGTTTTGTTTTGATGACCGAAAAGTTATTCCTATTTCCAATGAAACACATAAAATCTCATAGTGATAGGAATATTTAACACATTAGGCCGGGTTTTAATCATACAAAGCAGATCGCTAGCTTTCATGCTAAAAATTACTTGCTTTTAGTTAAAACTTACGTCATTTGGTGGCCCCATAATGTTGCTTAAGTCAAAGTGTATTTACCAGGATATTCGGGGGAATTATCAATCACGTCTCCTTACGTGCAGTCCACCGAAATCATCTTAGCAACAAACAGTTCGATTTATTCACTTGAATAACGAGAAAGCGAAACGATGAACGTACACTTTTCACGGGTTTCTCTGCGTTGTTACTTAAGACAAACGGCATCTCCATAGAAATCGAGTGACTTAAGTAACATCGAAAAATATTTTGATCGGAAGGTGATAACATTCGATTGGTAAAAATAAATTTAAAAATGGGATGTGATCCTATATTCGGACAGTATATAGGGTAATAGCAGGAGCATTGATTGACACTGATAGCTCGACTTTGTTTACCTTTGATACTTTCAACGTCATGAAAATTTGGTCACTTCAAGCAAGGAGTTTGATCATGTTTGGGTCAAATGTTTTATTGGAAGTCATATCTTTGCGACAGTGTATTTCCCTCCTGAAAGTGCAATAATAGAATCACATGAATTGTTTTTTTTAGTATTACTGATACTATTATTCCTAAATGTGAGCCTGAAGCAAATTTTCACTTTTACGGTGACTTTCGAATTGTCAAATTTAAGTGAAAATTCTCCAAATGAAACACAGCCTTAGTAAGAGCAGCATAATCATCACTGAAAATTGATGATTAAATTTCTGCTTTTCAGACTTCAAGAAAAAAGTGCTGATTGCTGTTTTATCATCTCCAACGTTGTAATC